GAGGGACAGCAACACATCAAAGTAACTAGAAAGAAAAAGCCATTTAAGAAGTGAATACAAATGACTTAAAGCTACTGCTTGGTAGAGTTAATTTCTCTTTCAATGTTTCTAGTCTGACTCTTTTCTGGACTGTTTTTATACAGTTTATACTAGAGCTAATTGTCCCAGACACAGTTTATCATTTAGCCTATCAGCTGGGGTGGAGGCATTTCTACGCTCAGCCTGCAATCTTACCTTGTAGGCAGCTTGTCTCATAAACTGCTTTGCAGGCTGCTTCCAAATAGCAGGCACTGTAATGACCCATCTCACTTCAGTGTTTTCAAAGTCCGAGCCTCCTTGGTCACTGAGCTCCTAAACAAAAGGAAAAGAGAGGTGAATGCAAAATGGTGGGCATCAACTTTATTAAAAAAAAATTAAAATATTTTCTGCTGCCTCCAGTAACAGTAACTTTCTCTTTTCAATTTTCTTCCTGTTACATCTATGCTACAAATCAGAATTACTGCAATTATTGCCAACCTGTCAAGAATGCTTTACTGTCCCAGAAGCTGGGATTAGGGTTGATGCCTTCTAAAGGAGGCCTATAGAGAAGTTTACTGCTTAACATGAAGTAGAAAAGTTATTTTTTTCCAAAAGCAGCTCATGGACTGCTGAATATTACAGAACATTTATGTACGTTCCTAGTCACAGTGTGGGATTTGCTGTTAGTTTGAAGAATTCACACTTGCATCTTGATTAATACACAGAAAAATATTTGAGGTATTACTGATGAACATTATGTTTTACAATCTGGATTTTTCAATGAATTCTTTATACACCACCTACCTTTAAATCAGATTTTTATAACTCAGTTAACAAGGGGAAGTTACAGTTAAACCCTTTAAAATAAATGACTGATTGCTCCTTGGAAATTTTGCTTTAAGCAAACATTCAAGACCAGTTTAGTTCTTTTATTGTCTTTATTTTCCCCCCCCAAAAAGAGGAAAGTCTGTATTGCATTTGCAAATTAGGTTATACACTGACATGTTTCGGGAAAGGTTCCAAGCAAAATGTCATTACCATATGTCCTATCTAAATCTCCATCCAAACAAGGAAAGGTTCAGAAAGGTGAACAACGGGCCTTTAGAATGTAAAAAAATGTTTCTGCATGTGCTGTGCCAAGGTGTTGTGTTTGTTTAGCTATGCTGCCGTTCAAAAATCCATGCTAGAAAAGTAGTACCTTTATACGGCACAGGGCACTAGGAAGGGACGGCTTATAGTCCAAAGTAACAGCTCATTTACATCGCTTGTCTAATTAGTTTCAGCATGCACTCACAAATCACAGGGATTTATTTATGAACTTCAAGAAAGGAAGTAGCCCTGAACAGGCAGCACAGCAAATACTTGGGATTGTACCCAACAGTGTTCATATTCAGTAAGAATTCCCCCAGACTATGCACAGGTTCAAGTCTGTGACTCTACAGTCAACCCCAAAATCTAGCTAAGAAAGTCTTTGACAAGATGAGGAATTTGAGTTGCAGTTTTTCTCTGCAGCCATGAAGAATAGACTGAGATCTCACAGAGAATAAATCAAACTCCTTCAAAAAAGCAGGTTAGTTTTTAACAACAAGGCTATTTTAAACAACGCTTGGTTAGATGAATATTCTGATTTGACCCAGCAACTACTATGCTCACGTTGACATTATAGCGGTGCATGTGAAGCCAATGTGTACTTAACTCACATTTGACTGTTTACATGAGATTTTTAAATCTCAAAAACTGTTTACTGTGGACATGTATTTCACAGGAGAACACAAGAAACAATCTTGTGACCCAAGAAGAACATTACAAGAAATCAGTATTGCAACATTTCAAATAGAAAATGAAAAATAAAATGCATTTTCCCTACCAACACCAGCCACAGCAGGGGAGGGGGGGGGGGAAGCAACAACATAAATGGAGGCAGTCCATCAGAACGTGGTATGAATTTACAAATTAAACCCCTAACAGATGACTGCCTTACTTTTTGGTTCTCCCTAATGCTTGTTAGATTTTTTGCATAAACATGCATTAAGGATCTCACAGCACAATGACATGAAGTTCACCCCTGCAAAGGGTCAGCACAGGCTCAAAATGCCACGGCCTAACTGCGGCTCTTTGGCACTGCATACTGCAGTTTAACTCTGTAAAACTGTGTAAACTATGTAACTATGTAAAGGAGAGTTGTGCAAAGGTACCTGAGCTGGTTTGGGTAACGGAGGCTATATATCCATGCCAGTGCAGAATTCCGTGTAGGGTAATATACTGAACCTCTCAGTGCAATCGCGTGGCCTTTACAGACCATTGCACTGGCATAATTACACTATGTCCACCAGGTTAGCCAGCTTGTACACCTCAGCAGGTCATCTTTGTACAGACTTACAGTAAGATTCAAGTCACCAAATTATAAATGAGCTTTTAATAATCTTTCTATTACAAATTAAATCCGCTCATCCGACTTCCCTTTGCTTAATCGGTGAAGACAAAGTCAGGGTGGGGCAGGAGACATCAGTAGGTGCCCAACCTATTGCATCTCATAAGAGGGAGCCTTGCATGAACACAGAACAATCCATCGTCCCAGCAACAGAAGCATAGGGGGCAAGGACAGGACCCAGTCTCAATATTAATTCCCGAGTTTCAGCTCCTGCACTTCTAAATTTTCTTTTCAAATCATCGTTTATTCATGAAAAAAAAAGCAATAGAAGATATTTAAGATGGTATGAAGACATTCAGAACTCTGCATTACACCGATACACTTATTACTACTGACTCAGGCTTCCCCTGTGCAAGAGAAAATCACTTCAGGCTACTGTAAGCTCTCCAGAGCCTACAGCCTGCCTACAGTTTCTACAGCTGCCTTGCTTTGTTTACATCAAATACTACTGAGGTCAAAGCTTGGCAAGGTTAGCAGTGTTAAGCTCACATTTATACCAGTTAAAAATACAGAAAATCTAGATAAGGAAGCATTACCCTACCTTTAATGCCTGTTCCTTAAAGAATTGCAGCGCGTAAGCAAATATCTCAAGTGCTTTGACTTTTTTGCCATTTGCAGCTGTCAGGTCTGTCTCCATGGTAAGATTCTACATGAAAGAAAATAACTGGAAGTTATTAAAAAGAAAAGGTAAACATGAAATTAATTCCCACTGCTTGAGGAAAGGGAATTCTTCTTTATCCACCTGGCTAGGAAAAAGTGACAGAATTGTTCTGAAGAGGATCTAACTCATCACTTGAACTTCCTGGAGCATGACATTTGCTGCTTATTTTAGACTTTGCTTTTAAACACCTATCATGTCTACAAATAACTTCAAGCAAAGAGAGAAATATGGACTAGATATTAAATAATTACAACAAATATATTTGTAATTAATTGCAACAGAGCTGCATATGCAAGATATTTAATCCGAGTTCAGAGTTAAAAGCATAGATTTTTGGCTTGCCACCAACACATGAAACCAGAAAACACCTCAATACAGAAAGTCCTGGCCAAGTCCCAAAACTCTAGAATGGCTTAGTTTAAAGACAAAAATATGGTCAGTAGGAATAACGTCAAACTAACAGCATGATTTGCATTTGCAGTTTTGACAATGAACTCTGGGTAAATTTGCTCCTCTGCACTAGAGTGGCTCTTACATTCTACTTCTGCTTTCTGATTACATTTATAGAATCAACCAACCTCACAGAGACTCCCTAGACAGCTATGAATTTCACCCCGGAAAATTAGGACATGAAGATCTAAGCAAAGCAGATATTGAACTTCTAAGATCTAGAAAGGAGGCTGACAAAATACACTTGCCAAGTGGAGCAAGAAGCAAAATGAATCATAACGTTAACTGAAAAGTTCAATTTACTTTATTTACTCTCTAAACTTAGAAATAGAGCTGCTTCACATTTAGTTCACAATCTTTAGGCAAAACCTAAACCACTGTCTAGAGGAAGATGATTTGAGTAGCAAAAGCACCATTATCCAAGAGAGTAGGTTATTACTTACACCGGTGGTATGTAGCTTCATCTTAAACTTTTCAAAATACAACCAGTGCTTTGATTCAGTGGGATCCAAGTCATGGTAGAAATCTCTTGCTGCGTACCCAAAGCTATGGAACTTTCTCTCTGGCGTTAGGAGGATAGTAGTTGGTGTCTTCTGATTGGAGACGCCTGGATCTCCACCTTCCCATCGTCTATCCAACAAGTGAAACAGCTTCAGTAAGTGATACTAATGTTCAGAGCAGCAGAAAAAATAGTGTATCGTGAGAAAAACAATCTGGTGGCAGATGGCACAGACTGCTTTCCCCTCCAAAGATACCCGTTTCAGTCCCCATAATACCAAAACCATCCAAGAAAAAAGGACTGTAATTTTAATTTCAGACAATTCAATAAATTTTGCAGTTAGTTGTGTAATTTTAAGGACATAATCATACTCTGTCTTTGATAAGAATACAGGTTCCTTAAAGTAAGCCACACACAATTAACAGGGAAACAGCATTACACTTACGTTTTCAAACTAAACATACACATGTAATAAATATTGTAAGGAAAAAGAAAAAATGAAGTAATTATCCAAGAACACTACAAATGAAAACCCAAATCCTCAAAACGGCCTACCCAGTAGTCCATCAGACTTCATGCATGCTTACTTGTATGGGATATTTTTCCCCATTTTGAAATAGGGACCTGTTTAAGTCAGCTGACCACCACTGCGGAGAAGTCGATTAAATCCCTGTTTCTGTCACAGAATGCTCTCTGAAGCAAGCCAAGCCAGCTCAACCAACGCCTCTCCACGTGCCTAACTTCCTGGACACCTGACACTCGGAAGACATGTCTGCAGACATTGAGCTCTCTGCGTTGCACTCTCTACTCACCTGAAGCTGATGGATTTTGTATTTTAAATGCCCAAAATACTGTAAAAAATTTAGTCAGTCAAAAATAAAGCAGACTCGCCCAGACCCCAAGTATCTTACAGGCACCAAACCATTTCCCTCACCACCATCCATTAAAACAGGGAATAAAACTATCCTGTCTTATCAAGACTGTGAAGGTATCTTCAGGAAGACCCAAGAAGCACAAAGGTATTAAGGTGAAAGCAACACAAGGCTTCTTTCACAGAATGGATGAGGAAGTAAGTCAGAACACTGAATATGGGAACAACCATTAAATGCAGCAG